CTCCCAGCAGGCCTCAGTCGGGCCACGAGGCGCAAGAAGCAGCCACGTACGTTGCAGAGCCCCCCCATCCCGCCTTCAGGTACAAGCTCTCCCTCCTTCCCCCCCATAGCTAGCAATCCAAAACAGTCCAGTGGCACCTTTAAGACCAAGTTTTATTCAGGCACAAGCTCTCCCTCCTCTGCGAGGACAGATTTGCACATCCCCCCCCCACCCAATAGCTAGCAATCCAAAACAGTCCAGTGGAGCCTGAGCAGTGGGTGTTGCCTTCTGACACACTTCCGGTGATGTCAGGGGGTGTGGCATATGTAAATAAGTTATGCTAATGAGATATGCTAATAAGCTCCTGCACCTCTTTTTCCACAAAATGACCCCTGATGATGATGAAGAAGTTTTTTATACCCTGCTTTTCTCAACCTTAAGGAATCTCAAAGAAAGAGTCCAGAAATGAGCAGTAACTCACAGAAGCTCATCCCCTGCCACAAATTCCGTTAGTCGTTAAGGTGCCACTGGACTCTTACTCTTTTCTAATGCTACAGACAGACTAACATGACTACCCAGCTTGAAGGAGCCCCAAAGCAGCTTACAATCGCCTTCCCTTGCTCTCTGCATGACAGGCACCTTGGGAGGTAGGTGAGGGCTGAGAGAGTCCTGAGGGAACTCTGACTGGCCCAAGGTCACCCATCAGGCTTCATATGGAGAAGGAGTGGGGAATCAGATCTTTACAGATCAGAGTCCGCCACACTTAACCTCTACACCCCAGCTGGCTCTCTATGAAGGGGTAACCAGCTCTCACTTATCAACTTTTCTAAAAAATAAATAAATGTTGCTCTCCGGCAACTGAATATCAATAATTTCAGTTACTGATATCACTAATTTCAATTATCACACTCCTATGAACTATCTCTGCTTTCTATATACAGCAAGGCTTCCAGGCCCCTGCCAGGGGCGGAGAGTCCTTCACCATGGCTCCCCTATCTAACTTCCGCTTGGGAGAGGAAGAAAAGAAAAAAAAGGCTGTCAGGCTGACAGTGTGACATCACTTCCAGGGAATACCAGGTTTTCCCAGGAGTGATGTCATACCATAGCTGATGGCTGCCCCCCCCCATCTTCCCCTGCCCTGTTTCTTCCTGGTTCACCATCCGCCCAGTGGTTTGAAAGCTTCGGTGAGTAGATAAAATGGGTACCACTCCTTAAAGAGGGTGGGCACACTAAACCCCCCGGTGGGGGAGGTGTTAGCCGGCGAACGGAATGTCCAGCTCGTAAGATCGGAAGCCTAGAAAGATCTCTTCGGCACCAAGAAGCCTGTAATGGGCCGTTCCGGCCAGGCGGTGGCAGTGTGGCGTTGTGACTCGAAGCAATCCTGGAGAAAGGTGACGTCATCAAGCCAAGCCGAGGAAATATGCCATCTGGAACATGTCTAGTCTACAGCTGAAACAAAATCCCTGTCGGCTGCGAACGTGTGCAATTTAAAAGATTTATATGTGTTGTCCTCCCTTACCCCTATGAATCATTGTTAGTCCCTTGTGAAATGTGTAACTGTAAATCGCTCAGAGCCAGCAGCTCTGCAGGATTGAGCGATTAATAAATTGAAAGATTATAACAATAATAATAATTATTATTTGTCAACCCTAACCCTAATATGGAGCCAGCAAGGTGTCCTGGTTAATGTGCTGGATTAGCTGACCCACCCTCACTCTGCCATGAAAACATGTTAGCTGACTTTGAGCCAGTCGGTCTCAGCCTAAGCTACCCCTCACAGAGTTGTTGTGAGCATAAAATGGAGGAGATAAAAATAATACCGTAAGCCACTTTGGATCCCCAGTCCCTGGTTCAAATCCCCACTCAGCCATGCGAGTCACAGGGTGACCTTGAGATAGATACTCTCTCAGCCACACCTACTTCACAAGACAGTTGTAAAGCTCAAACAGAGGAGGGATGAGATAACTGAAGGAAGGGAGAGATATTTATTTATTTATTTATTTGCTTTATTTAGATCCCATCTTTCTCCCCAACGGGGACCCAAAGCAGCTTACATTGTTCTCCCCTTCTCCGTTTTTATCCTCACAACAACCCTGTGAGGTAGGTGAGGCTGAGAGTTTGTGACTGGCCCAACGCCAGGTCACCGAGCAAGCTTCCATGGCAGAGTGAGGATTCGAACCTGTGTTTCCCAGATCCTGACCTGGAAAGCCCCTGACCTGGATGGCCCAGGCTGGACCAATCTGGTCAGATCTCAGAAGCGAAGCAAGGTCAGCCCTGGTCAGTATTTGGATGGGAGACTGTCAAGGAATATCACGGTCTCTACACAGAGACAGGCAATGGTGAACCACGTCTGTTAGTGTATTGCCTCAAAAACCTGCTGAGGGGTTGCCATAAGTCAGTTGAAACTTGACAGCAAAAAAAAAAAGTCCAACATTTTTCCGTAATACAGAGAGGACACCAAATGGATCCATCCATTTTGCTAAGATTTCACTGTATTACTGTTGACAGGCACTTCTCTAACAGTTTCCTTCCTCTCATTCCCCTTTCTTTTTCTCTCCCAGCTTTCGTTCGACGGGCCAGGCAAACAGCATAAAAACAGAGTGAAGTAGCCGCTTACTTTCCCTGAGGTAACTGAGGTGAGACAGCAGGACTTCCGTGTTGTAGAGAGAGGTGGCCCGGAGGAAATCGTCCTTATTCATTTTGCACAGCTCCTTGCCATCCATGTTCTGGAAAAGATTGGTGTCAATCTCCATCAAACCGTATTCTTTTATGGCCCACTCCAGCCACTGGTGGACATGTTCCTGGGTCCATAATGTGGGATCTAGTGGGAGAGAATAGAAGAATGTTGAATTTTTTTGCTTCAGGACAAAAAAAGTAGAAGTTTTTTAAAATTTTTAATTTAATTAGTCTTTTCCACTACTCATTCCATAGCTATTTGTTCCACTATTTATTCCATAGCTGCCCAAGTTTTCCAAATATGTAGGCTTCAGAGAACTCCCGAGCCACCTTGTTTTGAAAGAGATAAAGCAGGATAGAAATGTTTTAAATAAATAACACAAAGAAAATTCCAAAGGTGAGGGGCGGCCCCTGACGGTAAAGGTAAAGGTTCCCTTGCTTGAAAGCCAGTCAAATCCGACTCTAAGGTTGCGGTGCTCATATCCGTTTCAAAGCCGAAGAGCCAGCGCTGTCCGAAGACATTTCCGTGGTCATGTGGCCGGCATGACTAAACACCAAGGCACACGGAATGCTGTTACCTTCCCACTGAAGTGGTACCTATTTATCTACTTGCAATGTCTTGCTTTCGAACTGCTAGGTTGGCAGGAGCTGGAACTAGAGACGGGAGCTCACTCTGTCATGCGGCACACTCGGGTCTCAAACTGCTGAACTACCGAGCTTCCACAGCCTGCAGTTCAGCGTCTTAACCACTTGAGCCACCGCAGCTCTCAAGAGATGGTATCTCTTTGCAAATGCTTAAACGCTTGGCATGATCCTGATCTCTTAAAAGGGCATGCTAAGATATAGAGGCTGAAGCAGCCAAAGGGGTATGTTGGCCAAAGGTGGTTTAGATCAAGATGGGTCAATCAGTCAATCAATTTTATTTTACAGTCAATGACCAGCATACACAAAGGTTTACATAAAATCAAACAATCAAATTTCGTAACTTTAAAAAATTTCACTCAGGCATTTCCCGATCATTATACACCTGTGCACAAAATTTAGCCACTATTCTGGTTGTTTCATGGTTCATATCGGACAGAAGATAATCAAGTCTAATTTTGTTTGATCTGCCGGGGAAATTTCCGATCAGCAGCTCAATAAGTTTCAACTGGATTTCTTTGTGCCTAGGGCAATTAAAGAAAATATGTTCCATTGAATCAATTTCCTTTAGAGCAAGATGGGTAGCCGTGTTAGTCTGTCTGTAGCAGTAGAAAAGAGCAAGAGTCCAGAGCCACCTTAAAGTCGAACAAAATGTGTGGCAGGGGAGGAGCTTTTGTAAGGCACTGCTCACTTCTTCAGGTCGGCATCTGAAGAAGTGAGCAGTGATTCACAAAAGCTCATACCCTGCCACATATTTTGTTCGTCTTTAAAGTGCTATTGGACTCTTGCTCTTTTCTAAAGGTAGTTTAGGTCGGGCTTTTAGACGATTCCTGAAATTGCACCCAATCAATTACCTGCCATGTTGTGTGGAAAGGGGAGAATGGCTATGGCTCACTGGTAGACCACAGTGCTTGGCACGCAGAAGGACCCAGGTTCAATCCCCAGAAGCTAGTTAAAGGATCTCAGCTAAATGGACTGGAAAAGGCTATTCTTGGCCTAAGACTCCAGAGAGTAGTTATCAGCCAAAGCAGATGGTAACTGTCTACCTTGATACAAGGCCGCTTAATATGGTCAAGGAAGGAAGGATAATTTCCCGCATTTCCATGCTCCTGTCCTCGACCACCAGGTCCTGTGCAGTGTGCATTTGATTTGCAAAGACCGCAGGGACAGGGAAAGCAATTCACCCAAGGACAAATTGTGGCAGAGTCAGGAGTGAACAAGATGGGCTTGGCTGTCCCCTGTCAATGGATTACAGTAGCCTGGTGACAGTGCCCTATTCCCTGTCCATTCTCTCCCCTTCCATTTTCAGGTTTCTGTGAGACGAGCAGTTCCAGCAATCTGGCCCGTGACAAATTTGGTACAGATGGTTATTAAAACTTTTTTTGGGAGGGCTGTTTACGACTGTGCTCCAGAAAGTTGTAAATTCTATTCAATGACCTCTCCTCGGTCAGACAACTTTGCTTTGTACATCTGACTCATAGTTCCAGACCGTACTGACAAAAACAAACTTTCTACTCCCACTTGCCCAGCCCCTTTTTGCAACACTGGCCCTGCAGAATCAACACCGAGGGCGGAAGACAGGGCCCTGGACTCTGGCCACAACTTTCTCTTACCGCCCCAACTGTCAAACCAAGATCCAGCTTTAGGGTTTCTATTGTGAATGGTGATGTTAAGGACAACACCAATCCCCACCACCACCGCCCAGATGTTTTCTGCACTGAAGCAGGAGAGAAAGAAATGCACCCTGATAGGGTTCCCAGCTCTGGGTTGGGAAATAACTGGAGATTTTGGAGGCGGAGCCTCTGGAGGGCAGGGCTTGGAGAGGGGAGGGTCTTCAGCAATGTTCCCTCTAAGCTGAGTTAGTGTGAGCTAGCTCACAGTTTTTTAGCCTCCGGCTCACACATTTTTGTCTTAGCTCAGGAAGGATGGCTCCAGAGCAAACTAATTTATGTAGTAGCCAAATCTCTTGCTCACAGCTATAATGCCAGTAGCTCACAAAGTAGAATTTTTGCTCACAAGACTCCACAGTTTAGAGGGAACATCTCCAGCAGGGTAAACCACCACCATAGAGTCCACCAAAGCAGCCATTTCCTTCAGGGGAACTGGAGATCAGATGTAATAGCAGGACATCTCTCCACGCCCCACCTGCAGGCTGGAAACCTTACTGATTGAGGTACTGTGGCAGGCAGGTTCACACACATGACACAGTCTGGGTATATGGTTGCCAACCTCCAGGTGGTGGCTGGAGATCTTCTGAGATTACAACAGATGTCCCAGTCGACAGAGATCAATTCATCTGGAGAAAAAGGCTGCTTTGGAAGCCAGACTTGTGGCATTATACCCCACTGACATCCCTCCTCTCCCCAAACCTCACCTCCCTCAGGTCCCCCCCCCCAAAAAAAAATCTCCCAGTATTTCCCAACCCAGATCTGGGACCCCTAGTCTGGGGTCCTGTCCGGTGACCTGCATAATGGTCACATGTATGTTGTGCTGATTAGGATTCTGATTTACAGCATGTGTGGAGAAGGATTTTAGTCTTCCCTCACACCCACACCACTCTCCTGACCCTAAACTAGGGTTTCCACTCCCCAGAAGAAGAGGAGATTGGATTTATACCCCGCTGCTCACTCAGAGCACCTTACAATCTCCTTCTCTTTCTCTCCCCACAACAGACACCCTGTGAGGTACGAGGAGCCGTGAGAGCTCTTTTGAGAACTGCTCATGAGAGAACAGCTCTGAAACAACTTGTAAGTGACCCAAGGTTACAGCAGCTGCATGGGGAGGAGTGGGGAATCAAACCTGGCTCTCCTTCTCCCAGATTAGAGTCCGCACACTTAACCACTACACCAAACTGGCTCTCAGGTGGCAACTGGAGGTCTCCTGCTATTACAATTGATCTCCAGAAAATGGCTTGTTTGGAGGGTAGACTCTATGGCAATATAATCAGCTGAAGTCCCTCCCCTCCCCAAGTCCCGCCCTCCCCAGGCTCCACCCCCAGGTATTTTGCACCCGAGAGCCGGCAACCCTACCTGAAACATTAGGCTGGTCTGATCCAGCAGGCTCTATTTATGTTCTTATATTTCTGCTCATATTATTACAGCCTAGCTGGTGATGTGTGATGGTTAGAGTGTCAGACTGGGGCCTGGGAGGCCCAGGTTCAAATCCCTGCTCTGCCATGAAAGCTCACTGGGTGACCTCAGGCCAGTCACACACTCTCAGCCTAACCCACCTCACAGGGTGGTTGTCAGGATAAAATGGAGGAAAGGAGAATGATGTTGTGAGCTGTTCTGGATCCCCACTGGGAAGAAAAGTGGGATATAAAGATCAAAATGAGAGCCAGTTTGGTTTATGGTTAAGTGTGCGGACTCTAATCTGGGAGAACCGGGTTTGATTCCCCACTCCTCCACTTGCACCTGTAGCTGCTCCCAGCACATTCTTCTCATGACTCTTATCTAAAAATGCAATTCACCCTATCAAAAACACACGTACATGAAACATTATCAACGGCTAACTTTCATCTCACTCACATGCTCCACCAGCATCTGCCCTCTGAATAACTGTTGCCGTTTGAGTAATTCTACTTCCTTCGCCAAGTTCTTTCTCATTGCAAAACCGAGATTCTTGGTACGGGATGAGGAAACCGGGTGTGGGTATGGGTGCGGAATCAGTATGGGCAAAGAGACCATCATAGTAGGAACATCATCTGACCGCAGGCAGCGGTGTTCAATCGGCTTTCAAACATGAGGACTAGACACTTGTTTTAGAGCTCTTGCTTGTTAGGAAGCAACAGCAGGCTCTGTATCAGATCTTAACCATCTTATTTAGTTATTTTTAAATCCTCCTCTTTGTTATCCTCCTCTTCCTCCAAGAAGCTTTGTTATCTTTGCTGCACGTGCACGTGCACAGAAGTCCACATTTTTAAGATATAAGCTCAGTTTGGTAGGAGCGCTCAAGGCTCTCTTCTAGTGATACACCGTAAGTAGGGATACCAGCCTCCAGGAGGGACACGGGAATCCCGTGGAATTACAGCTGATTGCCAGACTACAGAGATCAATTCCCCTGGAGAAAATGGATGCTTTGGAGGCTGGACCCTGTGGCAGTGTACCCCTTTCAAACATGAGGACTAGACACTTGTTTTAGAGCTCTTGCTTGTTAGGAAGCAACAGCAGGCTCTGTATCAGATCTTAACCATGCTATTTAGTTATTTTTTTTTAATCCTCCTCTTTGTTAACCTCCTCTTCCTCCAAGAAGCTTTGTTATCTTTGCTGCACGTGCACAACACTGATGTGTCAAGCAGAAGTCCACATTTTAAAAATATAAGCTCAGTTTGGTAGGAGCTCTCAAGGCTCTCTTCTAGCAATACACTGTAAGTAGGGATGACAGCCTCCAGGAGGGACACGGGAATCCCGTGGAATTTCAGCTGATTGCCAGACTACAGAGATCAATTCCCCTGGAGAAAATGGATGCTTTGGAGGCTGGACCCTGTGGCAGTGTACCCCACTGAGGTCCCTGTCCTCCACAGGCTCCATCTCCAAATCTCCAGGAGTTCCCCAACCTGGAGCAGGCAACCCTCCCCCTCCCCCCACCTCTGCCGATGGCCAGGGGGGACCCGTCAACCTTAAACCTGTGAGGAAAGAGGCTGTGATTCAGAAGCAGAGAAGGTGTGTTGGCAGAATGGGGCTTAACATGTCTCATTTTCTCTTTTCCGTGCAAGCTATGGGGGTAGGGAAGCAGTTTGGACCAGAGTACTAGAAAGCCTCTCCAAAATCTTATATTTCAAGTCTTCCCCACCCCAAAAGATCTGGCTCATTTCTTATCTGTGGCTTTTATCATTCTAACTTCAAAGAGCAAGCAAGAGCCCAGGACTGACAAAAGGTGGTGTTCCTTCTCAAAATGCTTATGGGAAGGCCACCACAAGACATTGCGAGGGTCACATAATTTGTTTAAGATGGCTTTAAAATTATTTCCTGTCTATGTATGGCAATCAGTCGTAACAGCTAAGGGGAACCTCCATGTAGAGAGGTAACATATTATAAATATCAGCTACCTGGGTTAAAACAATAGGGTATGGCCATCACCATTATACCCTTCAATATGGTCCCAATGGCATCTGGGTGGCCAGTTTTGAAAACAGAACAGAACACCAGGTGGACCTTCGTCATATAAATGTTCATCCAGCAAGGTGGTTCTTATGTTGTTATCTCCAGGATTTAAAATATGCCTGAATTCATTAACATGTCCAAAAGGGAAGATTCAATCACAAGCATTTCTTCACACTATGGATTATCTGCTCATAGTAAACCCTGTAGCATTCTGCCACCAGTATGTTTCCTTTATGAGAGAAAGATGCCATTAGCTCTATTCAGACATAACAAGCTACAGTTGGTCAGTACAGGAATAAACTTTGAAAATCCTCAGGCTTATGTGTTTCCCCTTCCTTCAGTTATGAGTGTTTATGTGCTATCAAGCTGCTTTTGATTAATGACTTCCAAAATGTCCTATCATTAACAGCCTTGCTCAGGTCTTGCAAACTGAAAGCTCTCTTTATTGACTCGATGCACCACACATTGGGTCTTCCTCGCTTCCTAGTGCCTTCAACTTTCCTTAGCTTTATTGTCTTTTCTGGTGACTTCCCTCATCCCCAGTGCATAATTTTAGGACTTCCGGTTTGCGACAGATCACAATTGGTTATGATATCCAAACGGGACAGAACAACCACCTCTAGTTGTTCTCTTGCCTACAAGCCAGATTGTAAAACAAGATTAATCACTGGCTTGAAGTCATGGTTTTTAAGTAAGACAACAGAATGTTTTTCCATTCCATCCAGTTTCGTTCTGAGACCAAATTTCATACAGTTAGCACACTTGACTGAAATTGGCATCAAAACCAGTGACACCCTACCTGCTGGGACAATGACTCTCCTTTCATTGGTTGTCATGTTGGGGGGAGGAGGACCGTTCTTTTCATCCATGTAGGTGCCATAATTCAAGGGGTTGGACTCTGTCCCCGCAGCAACCAACTTGTTGCATTTGCTAACGCTGCAGTCCACCGGAGATTCCCTGCAATAAAAACATTGAAATCTGATCAACAATTCTATCTTCTGCTTTGGTTTAGACATGATAGTTCTCCCCCAAGTTACAACCTATAGAACATATCAATGAACTTCTGGTACATGACAACCACAGGTGTTCTGTCCATCTGCAGTATTGTGGCAGAAATAGGACTCTAATTAACAACATATTTATGGCTTCATACGGACAATAAAACCCTGCTATTAAGATGTTTATTAACAATAAAACCCTGCTGTTAAGATGTTCACCCTGACCTGGATGGCCCAGGTTACCCCAATCTTGGCAGATCTCGGAAGCTCAGCAGAGTCGCCTGTGGTTAGTATTTGGATGGAAGACCACCAAGGAAGTCCAGGATCACTATGAAGAGGCAGGCACTGTCAAACCACCTCTAAAGGTCTCTTACCTTGAAAATCCCACAAGGTTGCCATAAGTCAGCTGTGACTTGATGGCACAATAATAACAATAGCAGCAATGATCATCATCATCATCATATGTTCACAGGAATGAGCCACATGTCTGAATGTCAGAGCATCTTGAACAAAAATGCACTGGATTACACTGTCCACTGAGGGCCCTCAAGAATCCCAGTTCACAATTGTCAGATGACTTATCTTCAAGCTCTGTGACCACATCTGCCCCACACCTCTCTCACACACATCCTCCTTCTCTTCCAACTGTAAGCGTGTACTGATTTGTTCTGAGGACATCCCTAAACCACACCCCATGACTGTTTCAGGTGGGTCTGCGGTATGAGAGCATGATTTGAGCCCAGCGGCATCGTAAAGAACAAGATTTCCAGGGTATAAGCATTTGAGACGCTTCAAAACGTATACCTTGGAAATGTTGTTGGTCTTTAGCAGGACCGTAGCCAGAAACATTTTATGGGGGGGGGGAGCAAATGAGTGCAGTGGTGGCCAACCCATCATCATTTATTTATTATTTATACTTTATTAGTTATTTACCAATTTCCTACTTGAGACTCAAAGTGGATTACATGGTATAGAACACTAATCAAACAGCATGAGAGATCTAATAAAATGCAATAGGGCTAGGCGTACAAAAATTACAAAAATGCAAAGGATCAAATATGCTTTGTCGAGCAATGCAGAAAATGGAATTACAAAAAAATGAAAACAATGCTGTAACAGCATGATAGGACATACAACAAAATAATAATATATAGCATACACTGTGGCATAGACTACAGTCCTGTTCTGTATAAGCTTTATAAAAATGCCCTCCCAAGCAACTGTTTTACATAGTTTGCAGAATTAAAGAAGTGTGACAACCTTCTTCCAGTTACTGAAACCTGACATTGTAAATTCAACCTTCTTTTCTTTGTAAATCACTAACTCAAGGCTTCTAATGGCGCCACTCAACATCCCTGAAGGCTTTTAGGATCAGGAGTCTTCAGCCCTGCTAACTGCTAACTCTGTTATAGTCAATTGCACAGAGAATTCACCCTTGGAAGATTTGTAACCCAATTCACACTTTTTACCCCAACTCCTTCCTTTTTTACAAAGAAAATTTACACCTGAAAGAGTG